AAACTCACTCAAAATCAAAGGGACAAAAATTAAAACAAAATGTGATTAAATGTTTCATCCGTGAAACTGGCAAAGGTGTAAAGAATGTTAATAGCCACTCTTGGCCAGAAAGCAGCTAAAAAAAAAAAATCACACATATTTCTAGGAAAACCAGTAAAATCCTTCAGTGAAGATAATCTTATAAACTATGCCTGAGACTTATATGAAAGCTAATGGAGACTAAAAATAGAGTAAAAACAATAGCAAAACACAGCCTCTTCAAGACATGGATTCAAGACACCTAGAAAGCAACCTAGTGAAGAGGATAAAAAGAAGTAGAATTCTGGAAATCAGGAAAGAACTGATCAGAAAACTAGAAACTATAAAGAAACTGAAGACACGGTCAGAGAAAAGAAGAGGATGGAACACTAATCCCAGCTCCTAGGGGGAAGGTCCGATCTCCACAAACACAAACGAAGCCCAGAAAGCATCAGTAATTCCAGGGAAAACAACAGACCAGCAGCATCAGCCCCAAGAAAAGCTCCCAGTACTGTAAGCTGCAACTATAGGATGGGTTTTACACTGCAAGTGACTCCTTCCACATGGCAAGCTGGAGGTGGAGGAGAAATTCACAGCAGTGCCCACCATACTTAGGGCAGATACAATCAGCAGACAGTTGGGGGAAAGGATTTACTGACTACAACTGCGCTACTCCAGGAATCAGAAATCACAGAACAACTTCACTTCAGGTTTCCTGGTGTCACCCTACCACAGTGACTGGGTGGGAGGCGGCCAAAAAAAAAAAAAACAGTTGCAGAAAAGGGGCAGGCTGAGTGCAGATCCCCTGAGAAGCTTACACAGCAGCAAGAGTGGATTGTAGAAGACATGGCTGGTCCCTTCTCCATAGTGAAAAGCCAGGCCAATCGTGTAATTTCCTGAGGAGACTGGGTCAGAAAGTGCTGACGTCAGGAACAGATGACTGCTTGGCTCCTCTTGCTGTTTCCAGCAGAGAACTCAGTGGTTCATTTTCTTCTCCATCTACCACTTTAACCAAGGCTATGCCGTGGCTTGGACACTTGCCACTTCCTGGGGTGTACAGACAGAGGGCCTCTGGGGCAAAGGAGACACCTCACCGCCCACAGGCCAGTGGTGGTGAACCTGCGGCACATGTTTGTATTACTGAAAGCTGTAGAAGGTTCATCATCACTGCCATGGGCCATAAAGCTGGTCAGAAATATGGATGCAGACAAGGCACAAAGACTGGAAACTGCTGGAGCCAATGTGCCCTAAGGCAGACACCCCACACTGATTTGAGCGCCCCCAGTGGGTAAGGCAGAGCATGACTCAGCATTAGCACAGCAAAAGTGGGGCAGAGAAATACAACAGGTTCTAAGTGAGAGTCACTACAGTATCCCTACCTGTATCTAGTAGGTTCCAATGCTGCAGGCCTTAGGAAGGAGAAGTCACCCCAACACGTGGGAAGTTTTCGGATTCATTGCTTTTTCTTTATTTTTTGTTTATTTGCTTGTTTTATTTTATTTTTTCTATCTTTTCATTGACTTATTTAGGGTACTGGGAATTGAACTCAGGACCTCATGCTTGCCAGGAAAGCACTGTGCCACCAAGCTAAATCCCCACCCCACCCCCTTTTTTAAGGTAAAAGGTTTTACATTTATTTTTAAAATTTTTTTTTTGGTTTTACATTTATTTAAGGCCCTAAAGTAAAAAAGAAATACGCTTTGCAGAGTGCAGACTGGGCCACTGAAAGAGCTTACTTCTTAATTTTTATTATTGTTTTTCTCTTTTCCTTTTGCTTATCTTTCTCTGTTATTTTTACCTAATTCTATTAGCTTTCATTCACTAGTTAGATTTATTTTATTTTATTGTGTTTTTGAGAGTGTTTCACTATGCAGTTCGGACTGGCCTTGAGCTCACTTTGTAGTCCAGGCTGGCCTCAAACTCATGGTGACCTTCCTGCCTCAGCGTCCCGAGTGCTGGGATTACAGGCCTGTGCCCCTACACCTGGCTCTTCAGTTGAACTTTTCCATCTTACTTTTCTTTCCTGATTTTCCTTTTTTTTTTTTCTCTTTCTTTTCCAATTCTGTTTCATTTTTCCCTTCCATTAGCTTCTCCATTTTAATTATTATTATTAAGATTTTTAATTCTTATCTATTTAGTTGACTGTGGTATTTTGCTGTTAAGGGCGGTATAGTTGTTGCTGTTAGCAGATATTTACCAAATGTCAATATCTGATTTGTATTAGCACCTACATTACTTTTGAGACCTCTTATTGTAAAGGATGATATAATTGTAGCTCTTATGCTCCTCGTGCTGAAGCAAAACCTGTGGTCTTACGCCCCTGGTGAGGACACTATCATACACATCTCTGGCTTCTTCCTGGTTTATCATGAGAACTCAGAGTACTCTTCCTCTTGGTATCAGTGACTGGGACCACTGTGTAGTAGACAGCTATCTCTGCCCAAAGACAGAGGCAGACATATTTAAGAAGGCATGACAAGCATGGTGGCACACGCCTATGATCCCAGCACTGGGGAGGCTGAGGCTGCAGGGTTGCTGTGAGTTTGAGGCCAACCTGGGCTGCATAGTGAGTTTAAAGCTAGTTTGAGCTACATAGTGAGACCCAGTCTCAAAACAAAACAAAAATGGAAACAAAAAACAGTAAGGAGGCACTGGCCAGCCCTCTTGGACTATGTGATCAACCACCACCACCTGCCCTGACACTAGAAGTGCAGTATAAGCAGACAAATATTATTATTTGCCTGCTGTTGTGACACTGTCTTGGTGGCCAGACCACACCAGTGAGCCCAGTGTGACAGTTTGTGGTGACTTTGGGGCTAGATGAAACAGCAATTCGGTAGGCTTTAGACTAGGCAGACTCAGACTGCCAATCTCTGTGCTCCAAGATTCTCCAGGCCATGAGCAAGTCCCGAGCCACCTCACTGCCAGTCAGCAAACCGATGTCATCCTCCTCTTAGCCCACGAGGAGGCTGACTGGTCTCCAGACATGTTGGCCAGTCATTTCCTGCAGACTCTGAGGGGACTCCTCAGCTGCTTAGAGGCTGGAGTGCTGCCTGGAGCCCTGAACCCCAACGTGAACTTCTTTGTAGAACTCGTCCCTAAGGAAGCAGGTGGATTGGGATACACACGCTATTGCTTGTCGTCTGAGCTGGACATGCTGTTGCAGACCTAAGGGAAGGTGAAGGCCACAGCAGGTGTTGGCGCATGCCTGTAATCCCAGTATTCAGGAGGCTGAAACAGGAGGATCGCCTCAAGTTCGGGGCCAGCCTGGGTTCCACAGTGGATTAAAGGCCAGTCTGATTAAAGGCCAGGCCCTTTAGCCACATAGGCTTTTCCAAAGGTACCTTCCACAATGACCTTAATCACATCAAACTTATCCATGGTCTCCAGCGCTGAGGTTCCTGGAATTAGAGGGTCTTATTACTGTATGCTTCTCATGACAGCCAACTGCCAGAAAACTGGCTAAAAAGTAAAGGAACTCACTTTGCTAAAATTCTCTTCTGGCCTGGCCAAAACAGAGTCAAATAACACCCTTGTGATCACAGGTAACAGAGAGTCAGCCTGGAGGCTCCAAGGGCAGCCTTCACTTGTACCTCAGTTTGACTCACTTTAGCAGGGAAGCCTGCACACAAACCTCGGTAAACTTGAATATCCTAAAATAGAAATACCAATACTGCACGGTGAGTTCAGAGAAGGCAATTTGTTATATCACGGTTGCCTGGCTACTCCCATCCTCACACCTGGGCATGGTCACAGCCCAAGCGCTCCTCAGTGAGGCAGTAACTGGTCTCTACAATGCAGTCTGGAATTTCACGCAGGGTTTTCCATTCTCCCCACAGATTCACAGTCATTACAGGATTTAGAGGTGGTTAGGGCTGGGACACTACCTTTTCCCACGCAGAAGCCAGTCCTACACACAGTAAAGATGTTCTGTGGAGCCCCACGACCTAGGAAAGTCGTGTGTTTTCATGAGGAGAATCCATTCATGATTATCTGTGGCTGCAACCAAACTGTTTAACACTTAGAAACAAAGCCTCCACGCCAAATGACTTTCCTAGAAATGCAACAAACTCCCTGTCAAATTTTAGCAAGAGACCAAGCATGGTGGTGCCCACCTGGAATCTCAGTTCTTGAGAGACTGAGGCAGGAGAATCACTGCGAGTTGGAGACTGGCCTAGGCTACAAGGTGAGCTCAAGGCCTGCTTGAACTACATAGAGAGACCCTGTGTCAAACAAAGGAACACTTAATAGGAATTGTTTGTTTGTTTGAGAAATCACGCCCTCCACCGGCCCCTCTGCAGGTATCGGACTCCATCGGGGGTCACCACTTTCAGGTGCCAAAACAAAGGCATCTGGCGACTTCAGGACTTTCTTCCACGTAGTAGTGCCAAGCATTTTCGGATGCAGACACATACCTTATTATCAGTTGCCTTTATTTCTCCTCTATGCTACCTTTAGAACAAAAGGCAGGTTTAAAAACTTGGGTGCGCAGGCAACTCATTTTCGAATCATTTCACATCAGGGCAGAAAGTGGGTACCACTGACTTGCCACGGGAGGCTGCGGGCATCGGAAGACCCAGTTGTGAGCGAGGCGGCATGGACCCTCCAGCCCAGAACGAAGGGTGTGGCACTCGCCCCAGGTGGCCCCAGCCAGTGACTTAGGTGAGGTCCAGCCTAGGAGCTGGCGTCTAGCGCGTTGCCATGGAGATCGACGGGGCCGGGACTCCAGGTAGCTCCCGGCCACTCAGGCTCCCTCCGCCCGAAATCCACCCTCTTGCCCCGCGGCTCTGGAGCCCTGGTCCAGCTCCGGGTGAGGATTAAGCGCAGCCTGGGCACCACACCTGTCCCTTGGGGCCTGAGGAGCCTCACAGCTCCGTCCAGTTTCCCCCGGCTGGGAAGCCCCGGCTCAACTAGGGGGCGGAGCCGCGCCGAGGGACGTGGGCGGGGCCCCGGGCCGCGCGGGTGGGAGGCGGGTCCGCGCTGTCCTCGGGAGAGGTCCCCCAGCGAGGTCCTCCAGCTGAGATCGCTTGTCCCCGATGACCGTAAGTCGGGACCCTATTGCATAACATGCAACCAGCACGTCGCACCCCTCACACCCCTCTCATTTAAGGGACCTCGCGCATTTTATTCTCTACTTTTTTCCAACTCTCCAAGGAATTAAACTCCCACTTTTACAAATGAGCTAAGCAGAAACGAAGCGAGTTTGTTCTGGTGCTGGTAATGCTGGGGATCAACTCCGAAACTTGTATAAGCCCTACCACGTATGTAAACCTAGCAGTGAGCCATGCCCCTAGGAGGGGGTGGTGCACTTCCGCTGCGAGGTCCCCAACCAGGAGCTGATCCTGGAGCTGTGACGACCGAGCTCCCCCACCCCACCAGCCTCGTTCAAAACCGGTTGCTGCCCCGGGGTCTGCAAACGCGCCGTACTCCCCACTGGCCCATCAATCTGCAGTCTCTAATGCTTCCTTAAGTGTGCAGGCAGCTGAAAAGTAAGCGACTTTCTGCAGTGGCAGAGACACGGATACAAAAGTAGGACATAGCCACACCCAACACAACTTAAAAATACCTTTGATTCCCACCATTGTCAACCACACCTTCTAGAAACCCACTTCTTTATGATTCAGAAAGTGTGTATTAATACTTTCTTGTTGAAATTTAACCTCCATTTCATTTTCCTGAGTTTTCTCAATTTAATCTTTTTAATGCCTGAAAGTCATTGATGATTCTATCAGATTGCTCTGATAATCAATAAAGCAATATATATGGTGGCTTTCTATTTTGTCCATAGGCCTGACCCCTTGTGTTATCGCCACCTTTTGCAGTTACTTCACGAAGTCCTTCCTGTAAGCCCTAAATTCAGGCGTTGTTCTTTTTTGGGTTTCACCGTTGTCCTAACATTCCTGATGATAAGATCTTCCCTTTTCTGGACTGAAATATTAAAACTACCAGTAGCATACAATTGATCAAAATATACAAAAAAAATATGCCACAGTATTGACAAATACCTATTAAATATCAAAAGTAGAATTATTTTGGATATTCACTGCTAAAAGATGTGGATGGGCTCCCTATGCCTTAGTTTATGTACCATGGGTGAATGGGAACTCTTTGCTAGAATAAGGTTCAACATTGATTCTCTTCTATTTCTTTCTTTTATACAAATCATAGAATTAGGAATTTTATTTAAAGTTTCCTTCCGTTTTTCTCTAGTTGTATGTTAAGAATCATGTAGTACTAGAGTTGGGGATTTAGCTCAGTGGTGTAAGCGCCTGCCTTGCAAACAGGCAGTCGTGAGTTTGATCCCTGGTACCGATAAAAAGGAGAAAGACCAAAAAAGAAAAAAAAAGAAAACAATCATGTAGTACTTTATCACCAAAAAACGGTTTACACTTACCCAGTAATTAGTCTCCTGAAATTTTATTAAAAGCAAAACCTTGCAAATCATCTGACCTTTGAAAGAACTTTTTTGTTTAGTGCTGGGCATGGAACCCTGATTCTGAGCATGTAAAGCACTGTACCACTGAACTACACCCCCAGCTTCTGAAGGATTTATTATCCAGGATTCACTCAGCCTCTCAATAAGTATGCATAGATCATTCCAAGTTCCCTTTCCCTCACTGTTTGGATTTTTGTTATTGTTGGTTTACTTTTTGGTTTTTGAGACCGTACCTCCTTTTGCAGCACAGGCTGGTCCTGAGCTTCAGACCCTCCTGCCTCAGTCTGCAGAGTGCTAGGAACACAGAGGTGTATGCCACTGTGCCCCAGCTGGAACCATCTTCTGTGAGTGCCAGGAAGGAAATGTTTTTGGCTGGGCATGGTGATGCACATTTGTACCCAGCATTTGGGAGGCCGAGAGAAGTCTGTTCAGAGACCTTGCCTCACTGAAGTATCACAGTATTAAAGGAGGACCCGGCACGTGTACACTCACACAATGACCCACACACTCTGGGCCCCCCATTTATTCCACACCACTTTCTGCTTCCTGACATCTGCCAGGGGACTTCATGGTGGTCTTGCTTCTCCTCTATCGCAGACCTAATTGCTGTCTCTGACAAGATCTAGAGCAACCCCATATCGCCATGGGGCACCTCCATCCCGGGCTCTTGCATGCAACCTGTGAGGTACTTCAGGACAGCTAGGAACTGGTAAAGATCACTGAACATGAACTAGGTCTCACAGAGAAACTGTACACGGCATCCTATTATGATTAAATATATTTAGCACCTCAGATCTTTAGGAAGTATAAAGTATCATGTAGTCATAAACACAAATCCCAGCAGACTAGTAAAAGCATCCCTAGAGAATAGGCATTACAAAGCCTCACTTTATAGGTGAGAGGTCATGTCCTACCGTCACACAGTGGTAGAGCTGGCATCCAATCTCTGATCAACTGGACTGCAAAGCCTGAAGCTCATACCCATCTGCTATATCTTCTCCATTGTGTTAAAAATCTCATAGGAATTACAGGTTGTTTTATTTTGGTTTTTTTGTTTGTTTGTTTTTTTGAGACAGTGTCTCCCTCTGGCTTAGGCTGGCCTTGAACTCAGACGACCCTCCTCCCTCCCTGTGTGCTGGGATTACAGGGATTACAGGCATGCATCACCACGTCCGACTAGGAATTCTACAGTCTTAAAAGCTCAGTCATGGGGCTGGGGGTTTAGCTCAGCGGCATAAGCACCTGCCTTGCAAGTAGGCGGTCGTGAGTTCGATCCCCAGTACCGATAAAAAAGAAAAAGACAAAAAAAAAAAAAAAAAAGCTCAGTCATACAAAAGAGGAACAATTTTAAATATGAAGAGTTTCTCCCGCTTTCCTCTGTTTCCTCGCACAGAGGAAAACAAGAATTCCTCTTCTTCCTCGCATGATGAAGGCACTATCCTTCACACAGGGCCTGCCATCCAACTCGCTCCTTCAGTTCTGATACCCAATCGTGGCTCTTGTCATCGTCCTCAAAGTCCCTGTGAAAAAACATTTTGGATGATAAGTCTCTGTATTAGGGTGCAATAGGTATTTCTTGATGGGTTCTAAGCAAAACACTATCATATAACAGTTCAAGTTTTGAAAAAATTAGTTGCACAAGGCAGTTGAACAGAGAAAAACTTGTTACACAGTTCTTCTAAAAGTTTTCACTGTTTCTGAATCCTTCTTCATTGTAAAGTTCAATATATTAAAAAGTAAGTCCACACTGAAAAATTACATGTAGGACTCAGTCAAGAATTCTGAGATAGGCACACTGTAATCCCAGCATTTGGGAAGCTGAGGCAGGAGGATCATGGCGAGTTTGTAGCCATGCTGGGTTCCACAGTGGGTTCAAGGCCAGGATGAACTACATACTGAGATTCTGATTGACTCTCTCTCATATATATATATATATACACACACACAGACATTTTTTTCTATAATAAAATTGTAATGGATTACTCATCCCAGACAAAAGATCAAAATATAATTAACTTATGGTGAAAATGAATATAAGCACCTATTAAACCTGAAATCATGTTACAATATGGTGTGTCCACCCCCACACACAGCCCAATTAAGCTTTCTAGAAATATCACAACGTACGTGTCTTCCTCATCCAGCCGAGGTTCAAGTCTCTCTGGATCCAAAATAACAGAATCCTGATCTCCATCGACATGGTCTGATGCTTCTGTTTCTTCAGTCAAAGGGCCTTTAAAGAATCCTTCCGAACCTCCAGGCGAACAGCAACAGAAAATATTTATTTAAGTGCTGGGAACTGAACCCAGTGTCTACCCCTGAACTACATCTCCCAGTGCTCCTTATTTATGTTTTAAATTTTAGGATAGGGTCTTGCTAAATTGCCCAGACCAGGCTCGAATTTGCAATTCTCCTGCCTCAGCCTTCCAGAGTGCTGGGATTTCAGGCATGCACCACCATGCCTGGCCCTATTTATTTATTTTTGAGCATGTCTCTGTGTGGTCTCCAACTCCTGGACTCAAGCAATCCCCCTCAGCTCACCGTCCAGAGTGCCAGGACTCCAGGTTCCTATTGTAGCACCCAGCTAAATGTGCCAGTGAAAACTGTAGTTACCCAGCATGATTTTTGCTTAAAACAGACCCAGGTAGCATCAGCACGTGAATTGAATTTTAAAACACTTCTTCCAAGAGCAAAAATTCAGAAAATCACACTAAAAACTTTCAAATACAAGAACCTGTATTAAAGCACCAGGCATCATGGCCCATGGCTGTAACCCAGTATGTGGGAGGCTACAGCAAGAGGATCACCAGGAGTTCAAAGCCAGCCTGAACCACACAGTGAGACCTGCCTAAAACAAACAAACAAACAAGCAAAAAAGAACCTATATTAAAGCACTGAAAGTTACGTTTGATAGTTGGATCACGTTAATATTTCTCCTTTGAGCTTTCCCCTCTCTAGTTTTTATAAAAGGAAGAAAAGGAATCAAAAAAAGATCACATGTGTATGGATTTTATTTTTATTTATTTTCACATTGCTGGGGATTTAGCCTAGAGCTTTGAGCATGCTGGGCAAGTGCTCTACTACTGAGCCAAACCCCCAGAGGTTTTTTGTTGTTACTGTTGTTTCTTTTTTTAAAAAGCAACTTTCTAGATAGTAACTGCATTAGAATTTTTGCTTGTAAAACAAACATGTAGCTGGGCTGTGGTGGCCTAGGTATATAACCCCAATCTCCGGCTGAGGCAGGATTGTGTGTTCAAGGCCAGTCTAGGCTGGCTAGCCCAAAAGAAAAAAAAAAAAATGAACATAAAAATGAAAGGTAACTGTTTATATGTATAAATCATTTCATAACAGAGAAATGATGCATTGCTTGACAGTGAATTTCCTAAAATACCAATACGTTTTACAAACCAGGCACAGCAGTGCACGCCTGTACCTGTAATCCCAGCATTCAGAAGGCTGAGGCAGGAGGATAGAGCTTTTGCCTAGGCTACACAGTACATTGTACTTCATTGTGAGAACTTGTCTCTTCACTATTAGCACCACAACCAAAAACTTACAGCCAAAATTTTTTTTTAAAACTCAAAAGATTCTACAGCCATTAGCTTTCCTGAGTATCTTTCTCCCAGCCATCTGCCTCTCCTGAATGTCCTCATAAAGTTTTGTGCACAACTCTGCCACAGTGCACAGACCACAGGCCACCACTGCTCTGGGTGCTGGCCTCCGAGATAATGAACTTTATTCTTTAGGGAAGGAACTGCGTTGTACTACTTTTTGGTGGTGCAGATTCCAACCAGAGCCTTTGCACTAAGCTATATCTAAGCACTAAGCTATATGCTGCTAAGCTATTTTGAAGCTAAGTGAATCACTGAGTGACCTAGGCTGGGCTCCTGCCTCAGCCTCCCAGAGTGTTGGGATTATAGGCATAAACCACTGTGCCTGGTGTTCTTTTTTCTTTTCTTTTTTTTTTTTAAAGGCCCAGGACCTCTGACATGGAAATATTCTATATTTCTAATATTTCTAATAAGGAAATATTCTATCATTGAACCAGATTCCTGGCCTTCTTTTTTAATCTCAAACCATGTAAACAAATACAACTAAATGTATTATAATAAATCTAGTTAGGATTTGCCACGCCAAATGAGCTATATTTGTGAATGTGAAGCCAAAGGTGCAGCGAAGACCCCAGAGGTTGGGAGAAGCCATGGATATGGATCTTCTGAGGAAAACTGCAAGGAGGCAGCAGAGCTGGCGCCAAAGGGAAGCCACGGGAGCTACAGCCACTGGCAGTGCCACAGGGGTGAAGCCACTCAGGCCCTTTGGAGTTCACAGATTGCCTCTGATGCTGGACGTGACCTATGGGATTTAACCTCTGCCTCCTGGATTCTGGTCTTCCTTTGTTCCCCATTGCCTTCTATGCCCCTTTGTAACTTTTGGAATGAAAATGTCTATCTTGTGTCACTGAATGTTGGAAATGTTTAGCTTTCTTTTCATTTGTACAGAGGTTCACAGCCAAGAGTTTGCCTGACATCTCAAAGGAAAGGTTGAACTTGGACTTTTTATCAGAGCTGAAACTGTTATGACTTTGGTGATTCTTAGAGATGGACTAAATGCCTTTTGAAAGCAGGATGGATGTGAGTCTTTAGGAGTCAGAATGTCAGGCTTTGTATCTAGGTGTCCCCCAAGCCTCATGTGGTCATAGATGGGACTTCAAAGAATTGGCTGGACTAGGGTGTGTGATGCTAGGACTGGTTCACAGCGCTATGCTATCTGTCCTAAGATAGGAGGGACAGAAAGAAAATCATCACTTCAGCTTGCTGTCTTGCTGCCTCTGCCTTCTGCTGCCATGAATTCTCCTCTGCTGCTCTGCCAAGCAGTTCTCTCCTGGAGTCAGGCAACTATGAACTGAAACCTCTGCAAACTCCGAGCTAAATAAACCTTTCTTCCTTTAATGTTGGGTGTTGGGTGTTTTATCTCAGCAACGAATGTATCTTACCATATTTTTAAAAAAGCAATTATATTATTATCACAGACAAAAATTACCTGGTTTATATATTGTGTACGTTTGAAATGCCAGGCTGAGATCTGCATTCTTAAGGATGTTCAACAGTGTATCAGGAGTCTCTCTGAGCCACTGCTTACGGGTATTATTTTCACTATATGTTATTACAGAACCACCTAATTGTGAAAAAATAACAGTTAGTGCTACATAAGAAAACAGTTTTGGCATCTATGTTCCAGAGTATATTTGACTCTCAGCTAAAATCTGTTTTATTCACTTATATGAGCAGCTCTGTGATGTGTAGTACCAAACAGCCTTCACAGAGTTACCGAAACCTTAATACAGTGAGTAACTATAACAAAATGTTGTATAAAAAATAATAGCATTCACTCCAACTATAGCTGGCCCTCTGTATCCAGGGTCCTGTATTGTTGGGTCAAAATTTTTCTTAGCCAGGCGTGATGGCTCACACCTGTAATCCTAGCACTCAGGAGGCTGAGGTGGGAGGATCGTTGTGCGTTTGAGACCAGCCTGGGCTACAAAGCAAGCTCAAGGCAAGCCTGAATTGCAGAGCGAGACCCCATCTCAAAGAAGACAAAAAAAAATTTTTTTTTCTAAAGATACTAAGTCTACTAAGATATAAAGACTTTTTCATGTCACACGACAGCTCCTTTTACAATATTTACATTGTATTAGGTACCATATTCTAAATCATCTAGAAATTATTTAACAGATCTAGGAGGAAGCCCATGGTTGGTATCAAATACTATGCCATCTTACACAATGGTCTCGAGCAGGCGTGGATCTGGAACCAGTCACCCTCAGACACTGCAGGACACTGACCATACTGACCTCTGTCACCCTCTGCTGGTAAACTGGAGGTGAGGATGGATGCATTTTCCAAAGCTGAAAGAACTGCATTGGGTTTATCTGTCTCCCACTGTCGCCTGTGAGGACTTGGTGAACTGGCTTTTCTGGGATGGGCTGACTGATTACCTGATTCTAAAGTGTGAAAAAGGAACACCAAAGACTATTATTTCATCCATTCATCTACATCCAAATATGTACTAGAACAATGCAGAATAATTATTTTCTCTTTCAAACTCAGATCCAGCAGCAGCTCTCTTTTAAGCCTAAGGAATAAAGGAAATGAAAATAAAAATTCAAAATAAAATTATCCAAAATGATAAATCAATACAAAGTGAATCATTAAAGGGACTGAATTTTTAAAAACTATGCAAAGCTACATATTTACATGATGTGTAAGAATGAAGCCCCAAGGAACTTATAGACACAGAGTTTGGTTTTGTATGGTAGACAGTAAACGAATACTTTTTGAAATGGCTCAGACCAATAAATACGAGTATGCCTTTTTTGGCAGGGCTGGAGTTTGAATCTAGGACCTTATACAATTCAGTGCTAAATATAAGCTCTACCACTGAGCTACAATCTCAGTGAGTGAGGGAATAAAATACAGCTATGATGTTAAACAAGTTACTGGATGGGCAAATGTACTTGCTATTGATATACAATATGTACTTGCTATTGATATACAAGACCAAGTAATGTGAAAATTGTTACTCCTTTTATATTCCCCGACTTTTCACATAAGCAATGATCACAGTCTGATCATTTACCTTTCTTTCCTCTCGTTACTTTCCTCAGAGCATTTTCAATTGAATTTGTATTAGTGGTTTCAAAATCAGTATGGCTTTACTTCCTACCTTGTTCTCCTTGTTGCTTTAAAAAAGATAAAAAATATTGATTAATATTTAAATTGCTCCAAAACAGTAAATAAGCAAAGGTAGCTATTCTAACTATAAATAAAAATAAATAAATTTTAAAATATAAGTAGTCATAGAATCCAAATACCTATATATTAGCAGTTACATACAGCATATGCATTTTAATCATATCCTTACATACAAGTATTTGTACTGTATGATTACTCCCATACATTAATAATTAGAATTGCTAGAAATGTAAAGATATATAAAAATGACAGGTTTGAGGAAAAGAATAATGAAACATTTCAATATGACGTATTGTACGGGGCTTCATGTAATATCAAAATGAGATAGTCTATGAAGTTGCTATTGTTGGTACTCAGTAAACAATACCCTAAATCACGGCCCTTCGGCACACTGAACTCTGGACGCTCTTGGCACTACACCAGATGCATAGTTCATACATTTACGCACATAAAATATAATTGTCTAACGGATAATTACATAACGTATGTTGATTATTACTATTTTATAGAGCTAGGGCTCAAATCCAGGGTCTTGTATACACTAGGCAAGTGCTCTACAAGTGAGCTACAATTCCAATCCCCTCATAAATTTAATTTTAAAGCACTTACCATTCGGTTTGCTTCATTTCCCAAAGCAGTCCTGATTCTGTTTGGGCCTACTTAAAAAGAAAGAGAAGGTAGGAAGAGAAAGCACAGGAAAGTTAACTTCTGTTTAGGTTTCTTATGTGAAAGCCTGAGAGATAAATGAGGGTTTCAAAGTCAGAGAGCTAGAGCCAGGGGTTTAGCTCAGTGGCACAAGTGCCTGCCTGGCAAGCGCGAGGTTGTGAGTTCAATCCCCAATACCAAAAAAAAAAAAAAAAAAAAAAAGTTCAAGAGCCAAAGGATTACCCTGAATAAGGTTACCAAGTTTTAACTGCCTTGTAGTAATGCACCTCAGTTGTTGGCGTGTTAAAAATCTGACGTGGAAGACACATGGCTATTTGGTTAAGCCACCTCACCTAAGGTTACAGGTAATATCTGTGCACACCTGAACATCATCATCCCTTACAATGCCTGCGAGTCAGCCTGCAGAGTCCCTTTTCCTGACAGCTGCCATGGCAGAGAGAATGGGTATTCATGCCAGGAAATGAGCTGATTCACTCATAACAGAGGCAGGATTTGGGGAAGAACCCTGGCAACTAGTCCCTCTGGTAGAAAGGGCTCTTTGCCTCATTTTCCTCTGGCAGAGTTCTGAAGTTCAGGTGCCTTGCTCATTGAATTATTTTATTTATTTTTACAGGATCTCACTTTGTATGTAGTAAGGCTAGCTGTGAATTCACTATATAGCCCAGGGTGGCCTCAAACTCATGGTAATGCTCCTGCCTCAGCCTCCCAAGTGTGAGGATTACAGGCATGCACCACCACCCCTCGTCTCCTTCAACATTTGAAAAATTGAGCAAAATGTCATTGAGCATCTCTGATGACAGGTACTGTGCACACAGGAGTGGACACGTCACACACAGTGACTGTCCTGGCATTCTACCTCTTTGTTCTGGTCCTACTGTGCACAGAATAAATGGATTTTCCACCAGCCACATGGTCCTAGTAGAGTGGCATTACTCTAACTCCTTTAAACTAAAACTATACTTTTCCAGCCTACTTTGACACTTTTCTTGGACTGGTTTATCATTACCCTTGAACATGTCCAAAAGCTACAAAATAGTACCAAAAGTCAAATTAACACCAAAGCAAACTGGTAAAACAAAAGTAATTTCAACCTCTTAAGACATGCTGAAAAGGCCAAATCATGTCAGTGGTCCCCAAGTCTCATGCAATTATGGACTCTACCAAATCTAGCATTTGTGATTGGTTCACTGTCTAGTGCTTGGATTGATGGTGTGAGTGCTACACCCGCCCAGGGGTGGAGCCAGCATACAATGTAATGGCTGGAAGAAGGTGTGTGTGTCTGTCTCCCTGGTCTGCCTTGCTGTTTGCAGCAGCTAGAACTGTAGCCCTGCCAAGCCACCCAGCCTTGGAGCCAAATGAATATGGACTGAAACCTCTAAGCACTGTAAGAAATTGGGGCTGGAGATTTAGCTCAGCGGCATAAGCGCCTGCCTTGCAAGCAGGCAGTAGTGAGTTCGATCCCTGGTACCGATAAAAACGAAAAAGACAAAAAAAAAGAAAAAGAAAAAAGAAAAGAAAAAGAAATAAACCTCTTTCCCTAACTTTGGGCATCAGATATTTTGTCTCGGTGCAAACAAAAAGTAACTGATACAGGCTTCCACAGCAAAATCTCCCCCTCTGGCTTTCTCCTGCCTCCTTAACCCCTGCTTTTTCTCCCCAAGGTCAGCCATAGAGACTAGAATTTCTCTTTCCCAAAGTGGGTCACAGAAACTCAAAATATATTCTAATCCTTCCCCACTTTTCTGTCTTGTCCATAAATAAACTCTGCCCTTCCTTGTCTTATACTAGATGATAATATGCCCATTTCCCAAAGGGTCCCTTCCCATACAGAATCTGAACAGACAGGTCTGGCTGTGCTTCTGGCTCACTCTATGAGTATTAGATCACACCCACTTCATCCAATCACACTTCAGCACAGCTGTCCACGCTGCAGTCAGCCTGTGCAATAACATCTCCATGACAACACCATAGCACATGGTTGAAACACACAAAAGCTCACAGGAGATGGATGAGGGCCTTCCATGTGCCAGGAGTACAGCACACCACAACTCAGTAGAGACAGAAGCTCCTGCATTCGTCACCCTTCTAGACTTTGCCTTGTATATTTTTTTAACCTTGCAGTTTATCTGCATCCTTTAAAAGAGCTTTGTGGGGATCAGTGACACATGCCTAAAATCTCAGCTACTCACAAGGCTGAGGCAGGAGGTGCTCAAGCTTGAAACAAGCTTGAGCAACTAGGCAAGACCTTGTCTTCAAATAAAAAATAAAAAGGGGCTGGACTTTGATCCCAGCACTCTCAAAGCCTCAGGAGAGTTCAAACTCAGCCTGGGTGAGTCACTTAGCAAGACCCTGTCTCAAAAATCTTAGAAAGGGATATAGCCTAGCACAAGAACCTGGGGTTCAATCCCTAGTACCACAAAAAAGCAAACAAACACCAAATAAATAAACTAATTAAAAAGTAAAAAGGGCTAGGGGTACAGCACAGTGGTATAGCACCTCTGGGTTTGACCACCAGCACTATTTTTTTAAAAAAGCCTTTATTAATAAACTGGTAAATCGTAAGGTCTCCTTTGAGTTCTGTGGGACACTCTAGCAAGTTCATCAAGTCTAAAGAAAAGGCTACAGGAACCGCAATTTTTAGCCCATTGGTCACAAATTCCAGAGGCCTGACTCACTGCTGGTGTCTGATGTGAGGGTGCTTTGGAAGAACTAAGCCTGACCTGCAGGCCCTGGAAGGCAGAAAGCGCTGGACTGGACCTGGACTAGAGCTCTCTCAGCAGGGCCTGCAGAGCTGACGGCTGGCTTGCCACTAGGGAGAAGCCCCACACAGCTGGGGAGGCAGAAACACTCTGTTGTGTCAGAATTATAGTCAAAGCCCAGGGGGCCTTTTCTCAGTATTCTTAGAACATCCCTCCAAAACCACACTTTAAAAGTTAACGTTTAGGAAACAAGAGGTTTTTTTTTGTTTTTTTGGTTTTTTTTTTTGTCTTTTTCCTTTTTATTGGTACCGGGGATTGAACTCACGACTGCCTGCTAGTTTTTACAATGCGATACAGATCCCCATAGGAGGCAAAATGTTCCCCTGGGTCGGGAGCTATGTTTCTTCATTCTTCTCTCAGTCTGCTCCTTCCTACCATCTCTAGCTTTCTCCTACAGAAGCACTGACAGTAATGCAAAGGAGGGAACATGGCTTTGAAAAATTCCAGACATGACAAGCTCCGAGTAAGAACAAGTTAAATCTGATGCTTGTTCAGGGCAGCCTACTGATACAGGAAAATCTTATGCAGCTATTAGGTGGCTGGTTCCCTTTTTGTTTTTCCTGGTGCTGGAGAGGGAACCCAGGGCCTCACACATGCTAGACAAGCACTCTAAATCATATCTCTAGCCTTAGTTCCCAACTTTATGTGCTTATTTTTTTGACACATTTTATTATTTTAGAGCAGATTTGTTTTGCTTTTTTGAGATGAGATCTCGCTATGTAGTTCAGAGTGGCCTTGAACTCTTGGCAATCCTCCTGCCTCAGCCTCCTGAATGCTGGGATTACAGGCATGTACCACCATGCCTGATCCCAGAACAGTTTTAGGTTCACAGCAAAACTGAGTGAAAAGTTATACACATGCCCTTTCCCCCACATGATGGCCTCTTTCACTACCAAAATCCCACACCACTTACAACTGATGAACCTACACTAACATATCACTACCAGCCCAAAAGCTATAGTCTACATATGACTAGGTTCTACTTCAGAAAAGTTTGTTTACAGGATTACTCTCCTGAAACACGGGAATCATATTTTCCTGTAAAATTAGTGTTAGGTTTTCCATGGTTCGATTCCTAGGCCCTCTCCACAAAAGCTTTCTTTTTACCAGTAAGCCAGAATAAATAAGGTGCTAATCATGAAGCAGACAGCAGCCTTTCTATCATTAAATATCCAAACTACGGTCTTTTTTCTGATCCCTGGAAAACTATAATGTAAGGATCAATACAAAACTATGTCTGATACAGTGAAAAAGAAAATTTTGACTTGAGGAATATCTCAGCTAAATAACTTTCACAACTTAAAATTTACATCTTCCTTTTCTTATTTATTATATTTAAAAAGAACACTGAAAGACAACCTTGTCAAAGTTCTTACCCATTTTCCTTGGAGTATTATGTTTATGTGTTTTGGTTTCATCTAATACCTGTTCTCCATATTCTGTGATAATCTGAAATTTAAAATTGAAAATTTAAAGATGTGAAAATATTTTTCTTTAGAACATTGCCAAAAGGTTATTTAGTTACCAATATTCTTCAGCATAAGCATATCTAAAATTAAATAATAAGCCAGGCGTGGTGGCTCACGCCTGTAATCCCAGCACTCAGGAGGCCGAGGCAGGAGGATCGTTGCAAGTTTGAAACCAGCCTAGGCTACAGTGAGCTCAAGGCCAGCCTGAACTGCATTAGAGAGACCCTGTCTCAAAAAGACAAAAGAAAAAAAGTTGAATAATAAAAATGGCTTTGGAAAGTACATATAATAGAGGTGGAATGTAACTCAGTGATAGAACTGTGCGTACTATGCTTAAGGCCCTGAGTTTAATTCCCAGCACACACAAAAAAAACCAACTAAAATTTTTTTAAATAATAAAAGTTCATATAATTTTTAAAAATTTGTTTGTTATTATTACCTACTTCAGGTTGGCCTGGAACTCATGGCAATCCTCCTGCCTCTCCCTCCCTAGTGCTGGAATTGTAAGTGTGCACCACCACACCTAGCCAAATGTACTTATAATTTATACAGAGAGACAAATACAGACACTTGTATGTGTAGAGAAAAAGATCTAGAAGGACATGCAAACTATTATTGCTATTAGTCTTGGAAAATAGCATGGTGGGAGGGGGAAATATTTTTATTTTTTAACACACTTCTAATTACTTGAATTTTTACAAGCATGTCTAAGAAGTACATTGTGCTTAAAAGATAACCAAGCCATATACCACCCCATTGACAACTAGTTGCGTACCTCAGGGGGTAAGCACTTCTGGATGAGGGGAGCCACACAGCGGCTGGAGAGCAGGGTGGTAGCTGAGGGGCGCTGCGAGGGGGTCCTCTTAAACATCTGCTTGACCAGATGCTGAAGTTCACAGGAATACTGAGGCGGCAGTGGGCGGATGGACCCTTGACATATTTTGAGGATAAGAGTTTTCCAACTATTTGCCTGAAACTGAAAAGTAAAAATTGAACCTTATTTATTTAGTTAGTATTTTGGGGACAGTTTCACTGCTTAGCCCAGGCTAGCCTTGAACTCGCAGCAATCCTCTTGCCTCAGCTGAGATTCCAGGTGTGTACCACTACACTCAGCAAAAATTGAACTTTAAAAGCAGATACAAGGGAAGAAAATGGAAATTAGGGAATACGACTTGAATTGAAATCATGCTCATATAAATTATTTTACTTTTATACATAAACCCACAGTCTAGTCATTTTTTTTTCTACAGGTATACAAACTGGGTTTGGTGGTACAAGCCTATAACCCAGAACTCTGGTAGGCTGAAGGATTGCAAGTTCAAGCCCAGTTTGAGCCACTCGAAATTCAAGACCCTGTCTCCAAAAAAATAAAAAGGGCCAGGGATGTATCTCTGTGCAAAGGCCCTGGGTTCAATCCCCAGTACTTAGAAAGAAACAAAGAAAGAAAGAAAGAAAGAAAGAAAGAAAGAAAGAAAGAAAGAAAGAAAGAAATTAAGGATGCAGCCCTTGGAAAAGCACTCTATCACATTAGAGGCCCTAGTTCTAATCCCAGCACCACGCGTACACATCTAGAATCTCAGTGCCCCAGCTGAAGGATAAACATGAATAGTAAAAACTTCCCAATCTAGAGAAGGCTTCCCATCAATGCTTGCTTTGGAGACTTCATTCATCATAATCTATGGTTTTATAGATATACATCTTTAGTCTATTTGAAAATGAAAGCAGCTTTCTAAAAAGTCAAAAGTCAAAAGATCAGCCTTTTACGTATGATTTCCTCCACCCCGAAACCCAGCCACCTGCTCCACAGTGGCAAGCCCTCTAGACTTCCACTGTTCCGTGTGTGGTACTGGAGACTGAATCCAGGCCCTCACGAATGCAAGGCCAAGGGTTCTACCACAGAGCTACATGTCAACCCTTTCTATTTTATTTTTGGACAAGTTCTCACTATATTGCATAGGCTGGTCTCCAACTTGTGACCCTCCTGCCTTGGTGTCCCAAGTAGCTGGGATTACAGGAATATGCCACTGTACCCGGCTACTTCAGGCTTCACGTATTTAATTTGGGGTGTGTGTGGCCCTGGGTATTCAAACCAGGGCTCCGTGCATGTAGGGTGCATGCTCTACCATTGATGTATGTTACCAGTCCCTAGATATTAGAATTCTAAAATTCTAATTTTATTTGTATATAACAGTGGTTCCCAACTTGCACTGCACATCAGTCCCCCTGTTTTAACAACCACAATGCCCGAGGTAACTTCAGAGATTTTAATTCAATTAGCCTGAGGTGGGCCTATGCATCAGTGTTTGAAAGGCTCCCCAAGTCATTCTAACTGTGCAGCCGCGTTATAAACCATTTATATTCAAGGAGGACAATTTGTCATTGGCAGTGCATGCCTTTGGTTTGAGCTACTCTCACCTGGCAGCGTTGAAGGATTTTTTTCAGCCAGCTCTCTGGAACTTTTAAGTGCTCTCTGCCCCATCACTAAAAAAGCTTGCTAGACCTAAACTGCACTCCATGCCTAAAGAACAGTCTGTTTGTATGCAAAGTTAAGATCTAGTAGGGATCAGCTCTACAACTTGGTTCTGTGTAATACACTCCTGCACAGGTGTGATAAGTCTCTTAGCCTCATTTTGTTACATTATTTCTAAAAATATCTAGAAAAAAATACAATAGTAAGGCAAGGTATTAAGGTATTTTCTCCTATTTTGTTAGTAAGTGCACATGGTAAGTGAACTCTAACTGCAAAAAGATGAGTTTAACAGTGGTGTAGCCACTCTGGAAGACAGTTTGGTGGCTCCGGAAAATATTACATATCCAGTTACTCACAAAGTAGAATCAGAAACTTTAACAGATACTTTTCATCCACGTTCATATGTGCATTATTTGTGATAACCAAAAAGTATTAACAATCCAAGGGTCCGCTGACAGATGAACAGATAAACAAAACATGGCAAAACCATATAATGGGTTACTATTTAGCCATAAAAATAAATAGAATTATGACACATGCCATCAAATGAATGAATCTGAAAAACATGGTTTAATTGATCTAAACCAGACACAAAAGGACAAGTGTTACAGAATCCACTGGTAAGAAATATCTAGACTATGCAAACTCACAGAGATAGAAAATAGGAGATACCAGCAGCTAAAGGGAAAGAGGATTAGGGAGAAACAGCTTAATAGGCACAGAGTTTCTGCTGAGTGTACATGAAAAGTTTTGTAGAGAGGAGCACGAGTACATATTATTGTGACTATAATTCATGCCACCAAATTATGTGTTAAATGGCAGGTTTTATGGTACATACATTTTACCGAATTTTTTTTTTTTATAAAATAGTAAAAAGAAGGAAGAAACTGCAAACAGAACTACAGAAACTTGCTAGTAGATACTGCCTACTGGCATACAGCACAGAAGAAGCTCAAGGCAAAGACCACGACAATAGCAACACAGGTAAACTTTTTAGAATGAATTAATCCTAGGGAAACAAAGCACTACCTGGAATTTGGCACATTACTGAGGACTCGCCTGCCATTTGTTTGTACTCACTGGATGCCTCAGGGTACAGAGTTCATACAGGATGCAGCCCAAGGACCAGATGTCACTGGAAGGATAAACAACAGGTAGGTTAGGAGTTCTACGAAAATACATTCATTTTTCTCATAACAAAAAACTAAAACTTACCCTGCGAGTATTAAGAATAGTTTTTACAAGCGATTCCTCGGTATTAAAACAAAATATACAGTGATTCTAACACTTCAGTATGGAGTAATATTCACAAATTCTCCATTCCCCACACCCAGCCCTCCAAATCAAGGTGACTTGGGGTCACATCAGTAGCATTTAGGAATTCAGCAGCAAGAGCACAAATATATGGACCCAAATACTCGCAGCAGGAAGGACTTTGGAGGCAGCCAGTGAGCGTCCCTGTGGCCACTGCATGCGCACACAGCACCGTTTTGGCAGGTGCCTCCAGACAGGCAGCTTCCTTTTTTTTTTTTTTTTGGTCTTTTTCCTTTTTCTTGGTACCGGGGATCGAACTCACGACTGCCTGCTTGCAAGGCAGGCGCTTATGCCGCTGAGCTACATCCCAAGCCTCCAGACAGGCAGCTTTCTACCTCCCCATGGCTGCTCCTCTGCTCTGCCAGGCTGGGAATGCAGCTGCCGGCAACTCTCCATCCCCAGGGCTGGAGAACAAGACGATTCATTCTTCCACAAAGCAGCTCAGTGGTATGGCTGGCCCATACCCTGCTTCTTCATGCCGTTTCCTCCTGTCATCTCAGACTTTTTCTCAATGATACTCACTGTAGCTAATTTTTAAAATTAACTGTTCACCCTCAACTTTTAGTTTTTTGAATTTCAAACTTATCGGAAGTTGCAAATGTCCATGTGTTCTTACCTAAGTTCCCAATCATTAACATTTGCTGTGTTTCTGTGCTATTTCCCTCTTCACTATGGAACCTCTTTTGAAAGGCTGCAAATACCAGGTACTTTTGCTATTAAATTTATCATTGCAAGAACACATTACATTTCCCCATAAACACAATGGCATTTTCACATCCAAGCAATTTCACCTTAATTCAAAAATATCATCTAATATTTCTCCAATTGTTCCAGGAAGTCCCTTCAGAGTCACTTTGACTTTCTGCAGTACTAGGGACTGAACCCAGGGCCTCATGCATGCTAGGCAAATCCTCTACCACTGAGAGACACTCCAGGTGGTTGCCAGTTCTCTTAAACCTATTCCTTTTTTTTAATGTTTAAATAAATGTTTACGGAAAAGCAACTATACTTCCACTTCCTGGGAAAGGGCAATTTTTAAAGACCATTTATTCTCTATGAGGAACATCAACAAAAATACCCCAGTCCCTTTGTGAATCTAACAACTATAGGAGTGGCTCACAAAACAGTAGCTAACAGGGCAAGGAACTGCTTGCCAAGAAGCTTCCAGCAACTGTTTTGCTGCTGTTTTCCGCCTCGAATGCCAATAAACTCGCCCAGGACTTTACAGTTTTCTGCTCTCATCACTTTATCCCTCCCTAGGGCTTAAGGATTTATTCTTTGTCTTCTGCCCAAATGGCAGCTTGACCCAGGCAGCATTCAGGGGTTTCTGTTGCTCCCCAGCTCCTCGCAGTAAACTGCCAGCTGTTCCCTGTTAGCCGCACAGCTGGCTGACGAGCTAGCGGCAGAGAAACCTACTTCACATAGATTGTCCTACCCTTTTCAGGAAGCAACTCAGCGGAAAATAACGAGTCCTGAAGTGCTCCTACCTCTAGGAATCTATGCCATGAATGTAATGCCAAAAGAACAAAGATGTTAATGCACAAAAGGAATATTATTCACAACACTGCTTATGTGAAAATATAAGGCTAGCAGCAGAGAAATGGTTAAGTAAATTCTAGAAGAGCCACAGAGTAAAACACATATAGCCATTAGAAATATCTGTGAAGAGTATAACTATGTGGGAAATGAATATGGTATAATGTAGATAAAGGATACAATTTGCACATAGAATGTTAGCAACTAGACTCTGGGTTTGGTGGTGCATGCTTGTAATCCCCGCATTTGAGAGGCTGAGGCAAGAGACTTATTGTAAGTTTGAGGCCAGTGTGGGCTAGTGAGTTCAAGACCAGCCTGAATTACAGAGCAAGACCCTATGTCTAATGGGGGAAAAGTGAATGGATAAAAAAATGTTATTTGAACACTGCAGTAGAGAAGAGTGGATGATTTCTATTTCCTTTCTTACCCATCCATTGCCAATCCTCCCTGCTCACCTACTACCACAACTGGGTTATATAATCTATATTTAGAAAAAATGTTTCATATCAAAAGGCCTTCGTACGTTATCAATCAATTATGCCAGCAACCAAGTACTTGTTCTAGTCCTGGAAATGCTAACTCCATGGTTCCCAAATATGGAACATGTTAGAAATCTGCAAAATTACATCTGCTTCCCAACTCCTGAAATTTTGACTTAATTGGTAAAGATGAGACTTGAGCTTTGGGATTTTTAAAAGCCAGAACAGCAAAGTTTGGGAATCAGTGATGTAACTCCTGATACTCGTAGGAAATGACTAGTCCTTCTTCTAGCATTTATAACTAGTTCTGCTCAGTTTTGACTAAAACAGCTGGATAACTGACTTTCTTCCAAAAGCCTGAGAATATAGATTCGACATTGTTTTCAAATATATTTTTATTTTAAGAATTTCGCTGGCTTACATTAATTATTTGCAGTGTTAAGGATCAAGGCCTCACACATGCCACCAAGTGCTCCGCCACAGAGCTGAATCCCCAGCCTAAATAAACCACCGTGCTCGTGTGCCTGCTTTAACCGAGCACCAGACTCTAGCATCATTTGCAGGCTGCCAGATCTGTCACCAAATGGTCACCTCTCACCAAATAAAGACATCACTTACCTTTTATTATTGTAAGGCAGGTTCTCCCAAATCTCTGGGGGCACATAATAAGGTGTTCCCACATACGTACAAGCAAATGCCATGGGACTAAAACCATAAAAAGGCAAAGAATGATTACAGAATATTTCTAAAATCAGAGTATTCTGATTACTGTTACTGCAAAAGAATAGAGACATACTTGGAGAGAAGACGGGCAGACCCAAAGTCTCCCAGTTTCACTTTTCCATTTTGGGTGAGGAAGACATTCTGTATTGAAAAAGAAGAACTCAGATTATGCCAGGTCTCCTGGGAAGCTGTCTTTCCAAACTTGCTGGTGATGGAGATTAAGAGTAGAAAAGCCCACAACCGAGTCTCTGAGTGGACTACAAAACAGCAGAGTTCCTCTTGACAGCTACACATTCCCCTGCTTGGGAATTTAGGATGACTGCTTTGAAATCTAACACACAAATGTTAAGCAGCACCACAGAGCAGACCAGGAACCTGGGGCAGGGCGCCACCAAGTGGCACACCCAGCTCTGAGCACTTTCCACCTGAGAACAAAGGGACTTGGTGAGATGACACCTGTAAAGGGAAGCAAACTCATGAACAGACATCACAAAAAAGATTTCGGTGACTTCTGCATCTTTATTTGATTAGTATAAAATTAGGTCAAAGATATAAAGTTTCAATGAGAAGGAGTAAGTTCTCAAAATCCATTGTAGGACCATGGTGACTGTGGTTAATATATAGCATTTTTACAAAATTTATGGTATTCTTGAGAATTACTAAGAGAATAGATCTATTTTTTTAATTCTATATTCTGTACCACTGAGCTGCATTCCCGACCCTGCAAGTAGATTTTTTTTTTGTGTGCCAGGGATCAAACACATGATGTCACACTTGTGACAGGGGCTTATGCTACTGTGCTGTATCTCCAGATCCCCTACAAGCAGCTCTTAAATGTTCTAATCACAAGAAAGTACATGAGGGCTAGGGGTTTAGCTCAGCAGCATAACTGCCTGTCTGGCAAGAGCAAGGTTGTGAGTTCACTCCTCAGTACCAAAAAAAACCAAAAAAATAAGAAAGTACGTGAGGTTAGAGATATATTAACTGTTTTAATCACAATGAATACATACATCCAAACACATACAATGTAAATATGTGTGATTTTTGTCATTTTTACTTTAGTAAAGCTGGAGAAAAATTGTGTGTGTGTGTGCATGTGTGTATGTGTGTTTGGCTAGCAAATAGTTCTAAACTAAATAGAAATATCCCTAAAGGAAATGAATAACAAAAAAAAAAAAAAGATAATGAAACTGCATGCAGTGGAATGCTTGTAATTCCAGTACAGAAGGAGGCTGAGGCAGGAAGACTGCAAATTCAAGGCCAGCCTGGGGAACTTCACAGGATCTGGTGTCAAAATACCAAAATCAAAAGGGCTGTATCTGTAGGTAGCTCAGTGGTAGCTCACCCCGGGTTCCATTCCCAGGACCACCACCACCACACACACAAGCAGTTAAACAGTTTCTTTTTTCCAAGCCCCAAAATGTATTCCACTCACCTTGGACTTGATATCTCTATGTAGCACACGTTTCTTGTGAATATGATTTACTCCAAGGCACACTTGTGTAAACCAGTTAAGTATCTATAAGAAAAAAGGTATGCAACTTGCAAAAATTGCAATTACTTGTTCAGGTTAACCCAAAATTCCAAAGAATCGCCTAAAGGCCTTCACTGATAGGGTTTTACATGTGAATACAAAACTCATGAAACCTGGTAAGCGCAAGGTCTTGAGTTCAATTCCCAGTACCACCAAAACAAAACTCATGAAAATTACACAGTTTAATTAAGATTCTATCAGAAAAGTTATGGTATGTATGATCCGAATAGTTTGAGCTGAACATGGTAGCACATGTCTGTAATCTCTGCACTTGGGAGGCTGAGGCAGGAGAATTGCCATGAGTTCGAGGCCAGCCTGGACTACATAGCAAAATCTTAGCTCAAAACAAAAAATAAGTAGCTACTTTATTAAAATCTCCTGTATATTTTTATTATAGTCAACCAAGTATCTTGAATGCATATATGAAAGTAGTTTACCATTAAGAAATATATAACAGCTTTTCTAATATAATCATTATACTGAATTTTATTTATTTTTTTCAGAATATTCATGATGACATTAAAGGACTCTACTGTGTTGTCAACAATCGCTGGAGGTATTTTATTTTTTTATTTTCTTTTTGGTACTAGCCATCTAACCTAGGTCTTTATACATGCTGAGCATTCTACCACTGAATGTAAATTCCCCACCTCTGGAATTTATACCTTTTTTTTAGTGCAATTTATACTTTTTTAAAAACACAATTTTTAGATGCTGGCATAATGACAGACTGAGCCAGGAGGACTGGTGCCTGGGCTACAGAGTGAGCTCAAGGCCAGCCTTAATTACATAGTGAGACCCTGTCTAAGAATCAAAACAAAATAATAACAAAAAGATATGACTTCTTGATAAAGAATACTTATTTATATGCTTTCAAAACATGTTATAATCTAAATCAAAGTAACCTCTATTGAAGATATTATAAAGATTTTCCTTGGCCAGTTCTTTTAAGAGAAAAAAAATTCAAAACAATAGGAGGATAACATGATAATACACTGCATATTGTTATCTTTAGTTACTTAGAATATAAAACATCAGCACTTAATTGTCCAAACAATATTAGCACAAACCTTTCTTTTCAATGAACTAAGAGAAAGTAATAGTATAACTATCTTAATTATATACATACATATATTTTTTTCTTTTTTCTTTTCTCTATCTCCCCATCCTCCTTGGCCAATTCATTACCAAGATATTTACTATGTGTTGGAACTCAGAATATGATACTTCAAAGTATGGTGTCTTCTCATGCTGGGTCTTGTGAATTCAAGGAAAGGGGCTGAGAAATAAGATGTTTCTGATTCTTTCTCCTGTGCCCTCTGTCCCCTCAGGCAGGTCACAAAAACCAGAATGTCTCTTGCCCAAGGTGGTCATAGTAACTAGAATTCTTTTTTCCTCAAAACTAGCCATGGGGAAACTTGAAAATATTAGTGTCAGTTTACCCCAACTTTCTGCATAAAAGCTGGCCATCGGGGAATTCTTCCACCTACTCTGCATGAGAGTAGATCACAAATTTTTTTATTCTAGGAGAGGTCCTGCCCAACACCAGGAAAGAAGGAATGCCACAGAGAAAGGCCAAGAAAAGTCCTAGCACACAGGACCTGCCAGTTTTCGCCACTCATTCCATTACTGTGAGGTGATACTTTTTCATCCAATTTCTACATAGTTGTCCATGCTTCACTGAATCTAAGCATAAAATGAGTTTTCTCTGGGTCTTTGGGTCTTTATTTCTAAAGGCTCTCATGTCACGGAAAACTATGATTAAATGTGAAATATGTGTCTCTTCTTTGTCAGTTTTTTCGTGATGGGAATGTCAGTCTTGATGGTGAGGGAAGACAGCACACCTTTCCAGCAATTTCCCGTTAAAACGACAGCAAGTTTTGGATTTAAGGAAACATGCTGAGTTTCAGAAGGAAAAAGACTTGAGAATAGTTGCTATCAAGAAACAGAAATGGGACGCTTCATTCTTCTCATGATCTAGTAGTACGAAATAGCATCTATTACGCCTTCTAAAATTTCAGAATAGTAAAAATCAAGATTTTAAATACCCAATACAAGGAGTAAGAACTATAATTTTCAAAAAAAAAATCTTTTTCAGAAAGAGTCTCACTATGCACTCCAGGTTGGCCTTGAATTCACTATGTATCTCAGCCAGGCTGACCTCAAATTTGTGGCTATCCTCCTGTCTCAGCTTCCCAAATGCTGGGGTTACAGGCACTACAATGCCTGGCTGAAATTATTCTAAACATGTAAGTATGACACCTTCATATTTTATAACTTGAATGGATTTTACTTCTGTTTGTTTTTTTGAGACAAGATTTCACTATGTAGTTCCGGCTAGCCTTAAAATCACAATATAGACCAGGCACTGACCCTCCTGTCTCAACCTCCCAAGTTCTGGGACTACAAGCATGTGCTACCAAAGCAGGTTTGACTTTACTTCTTACAAATATTTCAGGCAGCCATCCTGAGGACATTAAGCAGTAATGATGATCCAGACCCCAGCTGCTTCTAGCTAGTGGATCAGGCAATCACAGATATCAATGCTTTTATTTTAATTTATACAAAGACTGTGAGAAAAGTTGCTTCTAAACTGAGGGAAACTATGTAAGTGAGTCTCTTACCGTATGTTCAGGAAATAACTTTCCTTTTTGTTGCTTAATCTTTTGCATTAGATCCCCTCCATCACAATATTCCATCACAATATACAGATGTCCTTCAGCTAAAATAAATACAGAGAAAAGTCATAGTTGCTACAGACCAAATTTAGAAATGTACATATTTGGAGCAATTCATATTTACCTTCAAATGATTCTTTAAAGGCAACGATATTGGGGTGTTTCATTTTGGCCAATAAGACAGCCTCCTTCCTAGAATTCTGTATATCAGAGAAAGACTAGGAAAAGAATTTAAATAAGCATAAACTTAATACTGAATTTTAAAATAGCTTTACCCTAATATTTGGTATGGTTAATATGACACTTTAGTGCTGTTTTCAGTTTTATAAAACTGTAGTTTTCCTCAAATTTATCAATTTCTCAAACGAAATCCCTAACTCAACTGCAGCCATGTTTTGCATGCTTGAAATAATCCACTGATTGTATTATATTCTTTTTTAATCTCTTTCACATAAAGAATGTGAACCATATCTGTTCAAACATCATCAGAGTTGGAGAATCAGAACACCAAACTGCACAAAATATATCAAGCCCTTGTGAAACTAGTAATGAATAAACTGATTACATATTTTTCCAGGAGAAATTCCTCATTAAACTACAGGGATTTACTCTCATATAAATCTACATGTTCATTTTTAACGTGAGCTCCTTTCTTGAGCAGTAACCTTGGGAAGCCGTATTTCTTTCATGGCAAACATCCGACTGCTGCTTTCCTGCTGAACCAGAAGAGCTCTGCCAAAGGAGCCCTCCCCGATCACTCTCAGGACCACGTAGTCATCCATGCTGGGCACTGCAGCTGGGCTCTGCTCAGGCAGTCACCTCCTGTGCTCCCAAACTACATTCAAAACCAGAAACACTGAGTTAATTCATTCAAAGTAGTTTTAATCAACAGGCGAAGCCAACAGCAAAGATTTCCTCCTAAAGGGGATTTTAAACTGAAAGCAATTTGCTTGTTTGCGTTGGCCCTTCTGATCTAAATAAAAGACTTATTTTCACTGTGTTAGCCGGAAGAGGTGGCGCACTCCTGTAATTCCAGCACTTGGGAGGTTGAGCCAGGACTGTTGCAAATTCCAGACCAGCCTGGGCTACAGTGAGCTCAAAGCCAGCCTGAACTGCATAGTGAGATCCTGACTTAAGAAAAGACAGAAAAACAAAAGTTTTACTATGTAAAGACCATCAAAAAGGCCTTTTGGGGGCTGGAGATTTAGCTCAGCAGTATAAGCACCTATGTGGCAAGCGCAAGGTCTTGAGTTCAATCCCTGGTTCCGCAAAAAAAAAAAAAAAAAAAAAAAAAAAGGCCTTTTTTTCTCTTTTGGTATAGGAGATCTTTAACTAGTTATGCAGGCCCAGAAGCATTTTATCAATGGAAAAGCAGCACTTCAAGTCGGCATAATAAACTTTATTGAATAACCCTTCCTTTCTCTTAGTTTTCACAAAATATTTACCTTCCTATGACAATTTACCCTGGGGCCGGTAATAATAGATGAGCTCCTAGCTGCAACATCTTACATTTATACATATATACTAAAACTTTCCCCCGTTAAACTCTCTTGTTAGTTTAATTTGCAAGACCTCTAAAAGATAAAAGTTTTTCCTCTCTCTCACTTCCATAGGACATATAGGCTCTGAGCTAAAATCCTCCACAAATTTCCTGGTCCCTGCCACCATGGACACCGGGTGCAGAGGTAACCTTAAACCTCAATAAGTGTGGATGGAGGTGGGGAACACTTTTGTTTTGATGGTCCTGGAAGTTGAACTGTTTGCATTAAACTATATGCCCCACCCTTTCTTCGAAACAGGGTCTCAGAAAGTTTCTAAATTGCCCAGGCTAGTTTCGACTTTATGATCTTTCAGTGTCAGGCTCCAAGAGCACTGGGATTACAGGTGTGCTTTTCTTTTTCTTTTCAATCGCATCACAAAGAATTGTAAATAACAGAGCACATTAAAGGCAATACAAAAACCATGTACCAAAATACGTACTAACGTGATCTGCTAAACTTCGAGTTTGCATTCTTGTATTAACACAGAATTATTAGGAAACCCTAGAAATACTTTCTCCGGATAGCCAAATTAGATGCATGGTCTTCAAAAGCAATTATCTCCAAGATCAGTTAGGTCTCCGAGTATATCCAGGCACAGGAACAACACAACTCCTTTACCACCTTCCTGACCTTTGGCATCCATTACACTTCCCTTGTTCCCGATCTTTGTTTCTTCCAGGCCTTCATTTTACGCAATGGACAGTGATAAGGAAGAGCAACTAGATTTTTCTTAGCTAAAAACAGCATTGGGTCCCTTCGGATTTAAAGTGCTCTGTAAATACCCTGCAGTGGGCTCACCAGCGAGGCTTGCACCAGGCTAAGCAGATGCGGAGCTAACGCACCGGCGCGCAACCCCACCACACCCTCGCGGCGCTAGAAGCACTGCGCCTGCGCCGTCCGGCGACTCCGGGCTGCGGGAGGTGTGAGCGCCCCGGCCCGGCCCGGGAACAGAGGAGGGGGTCCGGGCCTGGGTCCCAGTCGCCCACCCACGACCGCCGCCACAGCGCCCGAGAGGCGCCGCGCCGCACTCCTAGCTCCAAGGGTCGCCCCCAGGCGAGCACCTCTTTCCTCACCCGCCTTCCCCGAGACCCGCCTCGCTGGTCCGCCTGGCCACTGCCGGCCGCGGGCGCGCTTCCGCGGGGCGGGGCAGAGTGGGGCGGGGCGGGGCGGGGCGGGGCGCGCCGCCGGGTCGTCTCTCGGGTTGCGGAGTTTGGACACCGCCTACATATGGGCGGGAGGTCCTGCGCTTGGAGACCGGGACTTGCAAACAGCACACTTCAAAGCTGTTTTTCCATGTTGCTCTAGAACAGTGCTAATAATACTGAGTACAGTGTCCCGCAGTGACATAATCTTGTCTCCAGTTTTAGTGGACGGCCGGTATAGATAAATTTCACTCGGGAGGCACTTAGTTCTCACCCCTACCAGCTATGTGCGGAAACGGAATAACGCCCCGCCCCCAGATGTTTACATTCTGCTGAAATCGTATAGTTGTTCTCTTACACAGTAAAGGAAGATTAGTACTGCATCTGGAGCTAAGGTTTATGGGAGAAGTTAAAAGTCAAAGGACAAAGGTTGGCACACTTTGAACTAGTAGGTGGAGAGAATAAGGTAGAAGGTTTCAGTCTTGTTTGCATCAGGAAACTTTTGAACCAGTGCAGATGTACATCCCGTTTGGAGCACGCACTGAAACGCCCGCAGGTAAACTCAGGTTACTTCCTGAGTTTGTATCCTGAGAATTGTAGTTTTTATTAAAATGGAGCATTCCAGCCCTGTCATTTCCCAGAGAAACAGGAAAGTAACTTCTGCCTTGGGAGGAAATGAATTTATTAGGGCTTACTTGCAAAGCAGTGCACGACTTGTAGGCTGTAGAAAGCCTGTAAGAAAGTAGCCAAATTCCCTGTGTTAGGCTTCGGCTTTCGTAGGGCACTAAGAAGAAGCATAACACTGGGCCCAGCAGATCTGTCCCTTACTTTTCTGCTGTAAATTTGTAGCCAGGTGTGCACCTCAATACCTTTCCCTGGGGAATATGAGAAGCAATCTATGTGTTTACCCACTTGGTATGACGAATGGAAAAGTGTGTGTGCATGCATAGGTGGCAAAATGCGATTTTCCCTTTACATCTCGACCGGTGCAGCTCCTGGGGTCCATGAGGTAAGGGACAGTAGAAGAAAGAGAAAATAAAAAGAGACAAAAGCTGAGGTTAAGTGAAGACCTTACTCTCCAGATGGAAGGAAAGAAACTGTCCCCTCGCTATAGGGGCATTTATTTATACATTAATATCACATGGAACAACGCTGCCTAGTAACCTGCATGAATGGAAAACTAAGGGCCTGATTTTGGGGTCCAGAATCACTTGTTTTTGTGGCTTGTCTTAGGTGGTCAATTTCCAGCTTCAACAACTCCCTACAACCTTATGCCCGGGGTAACTGGATTTGCATGAGCATCACAGAGGGTTTATTAGACCCATACCACTACAGGACTTATTAAAACTTTTTTTCTTTTGATTTTTCTGGTAAAGGTAGCCCAATTCAGTACAATGGCACATGAAAAAGCAGGCTCAAAAATTTTGGAGGAGATCGAAAGTGAATCAGCAGATTATTAATGCATGGATGATGAAGATGATCCATTATGGTAAAATACATGTCTTCATAACAGAAGAGTATTGTGCATAAATTATGATGATAATGATGACAATGATGACTTTAACACTGGCCGTGTGGGTCAAAGTTCTTGTGGCAGTGAAATGGAGCAAAAATTGACTAACACAGAAATGAGGAACATAGACTTCCTTGATTCAGATGACAAAACAGCAATCTGAGAACATATTTGACTAGTTGAAATGTTGTGAAATGGCCATGAAATCAAATAGAATCATCTAGTTACAACTAGTTCTGAAAATATAGTGAGGGTCTTAGCAGGTGTGAAAGGTATTGCCAGAAATGCCATTCAGTGTTGGACACTGTAACAGACAAAATGCTGTGTGATGCTGGCAGACAAACAAAAGCTGAAATGCAGGTAAAATGTTCTGCATGCAACAAAATCCATACTCAAAACTATATTTATTATGCCATCTCATTATCCGAACTGAAAGCATTCCTAGGTCTCCTGTACTTAGCAGGAATTTCTCATGGTAATCACAAGAATGCAAAAGACTTATGGAAAAGCAATGGGTAAAAATATGGCATAAAATTTATGCCTTTATAGTTAGAAAGAGTTATTATACTTTTGGTTTAGACATTTTTCCTGGAACTCAGACATGAGGGTCTTATTTATATCATAGTAGTCTAAATGATGTGAATGGACTTGTCACTCCCATCTCCAAACAAATTAGAATGTGATATTCAACAAATGGTGTACCAGTTTCCCATTGATGCTACACTTGCTAAAAGAACACATGTTGACCAGCACAAGACTATACACAGAAACAAAACGGAGATTCCAAATGACATGTTGCAATTTCAAAACAGAGAATTGTATATTATAATCTTTGGATTTCAGAAAGATAATAGCATTGGCCTCCTGTATGACTGCTGATGTCAACATTTCCCCGTGATAGAATATTCATAAGGAAACCTCAACAAACAGAAACTCGACACGGAAACTTTCTACAATAAAACCAAAGGTGAAGTAGATGTTGTTGATGAGCTATGCAGCGACTGTGATGTCACTTGAAACACAAAGCATTGACCAGTAGCTGTACTTGATCCTAAACATGTGTGCCATGGTTTGACAGTTTACAAAGAAAATAACGTGTGAAATATCACAGAGAAATTTTGTTAGATGATTGGGACTGTAGCTCATAAGAGATCATTTATAGCAGAAGAAAAACAAAATGTGGAGTACACTGATGTAGCTTCACAAAAACCTACAACAACCAAATATCAACTGTGCTCTAAAAAAAAGGACAGGAAAAACAAAACCTATGGCTCTCAGTATAAGCAATACTTGGGTTGCCATCATGTGTGACGACTGCCTTGGGTGTGATAGATAAAGCAAAGTTTATTTCTGTGGTAGTCTTTTGTTTGTGTTTACATTGTAGTCCATATCAGCTTCTTTATTTTTGATGTTATCTTTTAGGGTTTGTACGCAAATACACAGCTGATGTGAAAATGTTGCTGTATATTCTAAATGCATCATGCATATTAAGAATTTAATAGTTTATTTTGTTGATATTTTGTATTCCTGTTAATTACACACTGTATAATATAGCCTCCTGACAAAACAGCAAGACCACTGAGATATCAAGAATGTCTTACAAAAGGACCAGGAAATCAAAATACATGTGTAAGCAATATGTGTGAATGGAATGTTCTATTGTCCTGTGCAGACTGACTTAGGTGTTATAATTGAAATAAAGATTGTTTTTGTTGTAAAGTGCTGCTGGTATTTTCATTGTAGTTTATGTAAGAATTTATTTGTGTTGTTCTTTTTTAGACTTTGTACACCAAAAAACAATTGCTGTTCAAACTTTTGATACTGTTTTATAAGCACAAAAATTAAAAATTCAATTTATTTATTTTTGTGATTTTTTTCTATTAAGTACTCATTGCTTAATATAATGAAACTCATAAAAATTAATAAACTCATTAAAACTCATAAAAATTAATTCATCAATAGAAGTATTCTAGAGTAAACATGAGTCTAGTAGACCCATATTTTTGTGCCTTTATAACAAAATTATTGTTATGCCCCCCAAGTTAAAACAGCCAAAGCAAGAGCAGAAGCAAAAAGGGTCCTTGGGGAAAGCTGTGTACAGTTTGCACCCATTCTGTCCTGATCAGGGAACTCAGTCAGTCCCAGGGAACACTGTCCAGTTGTAATGATGGAGGACCTCCTTCCCTGCAGGCTAGCACACGACCTCAGCACCAGGCAAGGAAGAGGACAATGAGCAGTTAACCTCATTATTTGGGGTAAGCACAGCACATCGGACCAGTGAGGGCACAGGTGGTTCCACAGGCAGCAGTTAACATATCCAAGGTCGTTCTGCTTTGTGCTGCTCTCCACATCTTCTTTTTTTTTTTTTTTTTTTAACTTTTTATCGGTACCGGGACCGAACTCACAACCGCCTGCTTGCAAGGCAGGTACTTACGCCGCTGAGCTAAATCCCCAGCCCCTGCTCTCCACATCTTGCTGTTTTCTGGTTGAGCAGGGAGATCTTCTCATGGGTATAAATTTAGTGCCTTGGCAGGAAAGGGCTTGGGCTTGAATAAAGATATCTCATAATCCTTCTGGAGGCACAAACAGATGAGGGTGGATCTTCCCACCATGCTGGTTTCCTGGGAAAGCACATCCTTAGTGCTGGCAGATTTTTGAGACTAGCGGCCAAATGTCATAAACACAACCAGGCAGAGAAGGTCACCCTAACACTACACTTGCCAGTCCAATTCCAAGGCAAGCATTGCCATGAGCGAGCCCATGCACAGTCACTGTGCATATGAAGGGGTATAGTATGCCCCACACTCTGGGCATTTGTCTGTATTCCACTCTGTGTACCACATAGCTCTCTCTGGGCAGATGTCCCATATTTCCAAGAAAGGAGGTGCCAGTTCATTATGCCTTTCAAGACTCAGAGGGTCATCAGTGTACACACCGCTTCCCACACTGTAGTGTGCATGGATTGGGGTTCATTGATACGCTTTCTTACTATTGCTAATGCTGTATCCCAGGACTACAACTATCAGGACATGCCTTCCCTTTCAACTATGTTGCACAAAGAAAAGTCTTATCTCATTTTCAGGGTCTTCATAAATTTACTCCAATTGGGGGAATGGGACAGGACATTCTAGAGCAGGCCTGATTGAGTGGATGAAAGAAACTTACCATACACCAGCAACTGAACTTATTGTGTGTTGGCGGTCACTGCCCACTGCAAGAAGCTCCCCTTGGCTGCAGCTGCCCCGGGGGTAGAACCACCAGGGACTCCTGAGATCGTGCCATGTTGGAACTTAGGGTGCTGGAAACCAAGCAACCGATCGCCCCTCTGATAAGTGGCTGTGGCTCAGCAAACTGTGGACGACCCAGGGTGAGAACCACCAGCAT